TGAAATCCGGGACACTCCCAGGTTGTCCTCACTGAACCGAATTTGATAGAATTTGCAGACACCACTTGGACAACTGTGAACCTCACTGCCTCCATTTCTTAGCCTCCATTAACAAGACTAAATATCTTCATGTTGACCTTGAAACTACGAGCATGCTTAAATAAATGTGATCATGATCCATGGATTGCTATTGCAATAGCCAATATAATACACGAAATAGAAAGGATGCTTAACTTCATGTGATTACCTCTTCACGGACCTTCTTGACTGCCTCTTTATTGCGAGAGCAAGTCAAAAGTCCCTTTTTCTCAAAAAAGAGACAGTCCACAAAGAGTGTGACTGCACTGTTGTCCAGCACTCTGTGGTTTGGCAAAGTGTAGTCTTCATCAAAAGTGTGATGCATCGCCACCAGAATCACTTTCTTAGCTTCCAACCCTTTTGATAGAGACAGAAAAAGTATCATAGTTTGCATCAAAAAGACAAAACATAGCTTTACATTTTCATGTGTGAGTTTCTGCATGTTTACCTGGGGCGCTGGATAACGCTGAGTTAATGTCGGTCTCAAAACGACTGACGATGGGACAGAAGATGATAATCACGTCACTCTTCTCGTATTTCTTTACTTCCTTTGCACCTCTTTTGGTGAGCTTTTTAATAAATTTCTCATGAGAATTTAAAGTGTTTCCAGCTAAATGTATGTAAATCTTTTTCTTCATTTTTCCTGTAAAATACAAAAATAATTGTCAGTTTTACATAACTCTAATGTTCTGTTCGAGTGCTGTTTTTAACAACTTAAAACAAGTACTTAACATCATTTTATCAGCGTACTTTTGATGACACGTCCTAATTTTATGAGAATGTCTCATAAAAACAATTTTGACACATGATAATATATATTTTACTTTAGAAAAGGAACTCACTAGTTCCTCCACCACAGGGTAGGGACTTATCCTCAGACATATTGTTTCAGAGCATTTCTCCAAGACGACGGGTTGAGTTGAGTAGCATTCAACAAGTTTTTAATGATTTCCAAGAGTTAAAGCATTTAATATTTCAAGTCAGTTTACCTTTTGGGCCGTTTGATGGTCGAACTGTTGTTGTTCCGTGACCAACCAGCCGCTGAAATTTACAGGAAATCAAATGTTTAGGCCTTAAGAGCTTTCACTTTCACTTTAAATCAAATTTGAAATGACGCACTTTGGATGCACTGCCATAATCTGACCAGCAGGTGTCGGTATTGCAACATTGTGTGGCATGCACAGGACTTAGAAGGATGCAGTCGCTGTTACTATGCCCTATATACATGATGAAGTATCAAAGCAATTGAAACTAAAAGTAGCTTTTGCAAACCACATGCTATTTAGGAATTAAAGATTTATAATATAGGGCTAGCAGATTTTAGTGGGGTCTTCTTAATTAAAACATAATGCCTTGTCTCTGCCTCATTTAATTTGCCTCTACTGAAATAGAAGTGAATCTCGCAAAATGCATATTTAAAGCAATAACGGATTTGGTGTCTCACTGAGATCTGTTCAGGATTATACTGTTTGTTGTAGCGTTTGGAACTCACTAAATCATCACAGACATGTTCTACTTATAGAGCTCCTTGCCTCTAAGATTGTTACAGAATGTATAAGGTCATTCTTCTTTTCAATAAATCATTAATTTGAGCGGTCTAAGCTACATTCATATTGCAGCACTGTGTTAATTGAAATTCTGACAGGCAAACATCACTGTGACTGCATGTTTGTCAGAAAAAAAAAACAGTTCAGTGTGTGCACTGTTTTACAAGGGGGTGTAAACTGTATCCATGGGAGTGATTCTTCATCCATATGCAGTGTAAAGTTGTCTGGCTCATCTGTATCTGCACTCTGCGTCTGATCAGAGTCGGGGTGAGCTGACATCTCCCGCCCTCTGGCTTCACTTGCCTCTGACAAATGAGCAGTGCTGATGGAGTGGTCAGTGGACAAATTGTGGCCTTTATTCAGTGATCTCCACAAGACAAGCAACAATATTAAGAAAAAGCCTAGAGCTCACAGGAATCTAAGAATCATCTCAGGTTGTAACCTGATGCTAAAACCAACCTGCTTTAAAAATTAAATATTGCTTCTAGTTTAACAATGGCCTAATTTTTACATCTCTTCCACAGGGGAAGTGTGTCTTTCCCTATAAGATCTTTATTTTCTGTATGAAATGTCATTGAAATAAATTGTTCCACATTGTTACTCTCTTCTGTAACAAATTTTAACAAGACATATGTTCTGTGAATTAAACTAAGGGTAAACTGATTTAAGATATCCGCATACCTGATAAAAACGAGCAACAGAAACAAGCCCGCACACTCAGCAGAGGTGATTATAACATTTAATCACTGAGTCCTATCGCCACTCTTTGCAGGCTTCTCGCCCCAAGGTTTGATTTACCCGCCCTCTTCCTGAGGAAAAATCTCATTCACTAGACAGATTGCTGAGCGGCCCTCTCCAACCGGCCCCTATAAATCATTCTTTAATCAGAGGCCTCTGAGATTGGGCGCACACACCCGCGGGAGCACAACTGTGACACCTCAAACTCCTCCCAGTGCGTCTCTGCAATCCTTGGAGTTTTTATCCTCTTCTGTTTCCTCCTCGGGCTTGTCTGCATTTGTATCAGTCATCAGGAAACTAAGAGGGATGACCTGCCCTGCGCTCTCTGCTCTCTACCAACACCCCAGCACTTCCTCTGCTAGGATGGGAAGTGATGACAAAGAAGACCAGGGACGAAGAATACTGGTTTAAGGTTGCAAAAGAATGCAGGCTCTGTGTCAGGGCTGGATTATTAACCGGGCAAAGTGGATAACTGCCCCACAACACCTGGGCCCCTGGAAGTTCCATCCTTGCAGTGTGTCAGCTGGTTTGTGGTCATTTAAGTGAAAAGTGTTTTGGGAACATGCACCACTAAAGCTCAACATCAGTGGACATGATGAAGGAGGGCCCTGATCTTCAAACTCATGCCTTAAGGAGGGTCCCTGTGTCAAAATCTAGTTATAAGACCTTCATGATTTCAGCTGATAATGTGCTTATATGTTGCAAAATTTGTTCCTAAATGAATGTGCTAATCAAATTGCCACACAGCAAACCTCTGAGCGGGTATTTGATGAAAGAATAACTGCACAAATGCACACAGAATGGGAGAAACAAGGGGTTGAATATAATATCCCTCATCAAAGGAAGTTGATGTATTTGTATAGGTCACTGACATGAACACATTTCAATCAGTCAATCAGTTTATTATTTGTCCGAAGTGGGCAATTTGTGCTGCGGCAGGCGTATTAGCACACAACAAATATCAAAGACAATATGACACAGACACACAATATAATACAGAAACACACAACAGTGAACCTATGCACCAGGTTCCTTACACCAATGCAACATTGGTCTTCCTAGCTTATCTGAAGCAGGCCATAAGAGACCACTATTGCTACCGAGGGCCTATGAATAATATAAAACACATTGACCCTAGTACTAAAAACATGAAATTGTGACATACATCACCATTACCCAACGTATCTGTCTTAGTCTGACAATGAGGTTAACACTATGGATAAACTATATGTACTACAATATATTACACTATATTTTGCACCACAATGTCTCACACTACGATACCATATTTTGCACAACTTTTACACTAGATTAAATATATTCAAATACTGAACTCCCACTGTCGTAGTGGCTACTTTAATGGCATTTTTCTCTTTGGTACCAAGGTTACCATACCAGCAGATGATAGAAAATGAAATGACAGATTCAAGCTCTGTAGAATAGATGGTCTCTAGACATTAGAGACTTGTCAATCTGAAATTTAGCAAGTTTCCACAAAAAAGGTGTTGCTGGCTCTTTTTACACAGCAATTCAAATTTTGATCACACAAGGAAACAAAATAGTTAACAACTGGACCATACCAATTTCATCATCACCGAGAAGACTACAATTACAGAGTCAACAGCAAACTTGTTGTCATAATGGCTTTGGCAGTCGTTTGTGTGTTGAAAGAGAGGAGAAAGAACGCACCCCTGAGGTGAGCCGGTGGATGATTTCAACACACTGGACAGTTTACCGTTCACCCTTACAATTGCTTTGCGTTCTATTAGTGAGAAAGTCGAGCACCCAACATGCAATACTTAAATCCTCTTTAAAATCATTAACTAGCTTCTCAACTAGCATATGAGGCAGCATAGTGATGATGAGAAGTCACCAAAAAGAATTCTAGCATGGTTCATTTGGGCACTGTTGTTTTTGTCATCAGCAGGTCTTGTTCTATTTGAGAATCAAGAGCAGTTCTTCTATCAAGTCCATCAACACAAACACTATATAATATTAAATAAAAAATTTTAGAAACTATAATGTATTTTGTTCTTAAATGTATTTTTTGAGCACTTTAATGAATGGACATGGACAAACCATGAAGCAAAATCTCATTTTAAGATCAATATCAAGGAACTTAGTAAACTCAGTAAAAGAGTAAACTAGTGCTGATTACAAACTAATAAGCTCTCTAACACCAGATAGAGGGTGAGTTGGCTTCAGGTTGGAGACTTATGGATGTTTATGGATGTGTTTCATCCTGAAGTTTTGGTTTATCCTGTGCTGTTGGCCTAAATGTCTCTGAACGAACTTCCAGAGGAAATTTCACAACTATCTCCTTCTGTATCTGTCATAGGTGTTGCTTCATCCTGGCCACCTGACACATCAGCCACATGCAAACTCATTCAAATTCTATGCTGAATCTTGTCTTACTGGGAAAAATAAGCACATATGGGGGATGCTGGCAAAAAGCAGTCAATACTAAGCTGTGCCAAAAGGGAATTATGATGAGAAGTGAGTAAAGTGAGATGAGCGAGATGAGAGCTCTGAATACTTTTTTTAATATGCAAAGATGCTCTGACGTCACCGTGTTGAAACATTTTTCTGTCGCTCAGCCGGTTTGGAGCTGTCAGAGAGCGCGCTGCCTCTGCCTCCACTCATGCGCGATGACCATGGAGGCGTCCAGGAGTTTCACAGAAGGATGTAATTTCCAAACTCAGCGTGCAGCGAAGGATGCCTCCTCAAGTCAAGTACTGGAGAGACGGGACGCAGGTGGATTATGTTAATAGCCAATGCTCCGCGATGAAGTGATGGATGCGGTGACTGCCAAGTGACAAGACTCAGAAGTTGATTTTGTTCCAGCTTCGGGGACAGTGGACAGTTCAGCCATTTAAGCGACTTAAACAATCAGAAAGGACGGAACGCAGAATCAATTTGAAAATCATGCACTGTTCATTTCCATGGAGAGATGGCATGCGTGCTCCTCTTCAGTCGTCTCCTTCCTTTCTCACACCGGCTCACAAGAACATCCATTTGCTTATTATCCCTTTTCCTTTCATATTTGTGCTACTGTGCACTGTTCCCTGCAGATGCCATCATGCAAAAGTCAGGTGATCCGACGCCCAGCTGTCAGCGCGTCCTGGCCGATGGAGCCAAAAGGCGCACTCAGAAATACCTGTCTTGCGTTTTGCCGTTGGATGCGAGACCGAGCAGTGTTGAGGCATCTCGGCTGAAACTCGACCAAAGACCTCCTTCGATTCTTCACATCGTCGGGAACGACACGCCCAGTCCTCCCATAGGTAATCTAAAGTTTGGGAATAAAAAGTTACCAAATGCCATCATAGTTGGTGTGAAGAAAGGAGGCACCAGGGCTGTTCTGGAGTTCATAAGAATTCACCCTGACGTGCGAGCGGCTGGCACCGAGACACACTTCTTCGACAGGAACTATGATAGAGGCCTGGAGTGGTACAGGTAAGAGGGCACCTGCACAGGTGCATGAGTGTCTGTCCCAGTGGTCATGAAAACTAATCTTAAAATAGATAACCTGCAAATGACGCCACGGTTACGGTTTAATAAGGGTTTGTGCCAAGAAATCAGGGATTGAGGTTGCCGATGTGTTTTGCAGTCCTGTAAGATGAGTCATTAGCAGCCTTAATTAGGGAAAATGTAGCCATTTCATTTGGCTGGGGCCATCAAAGGCTCCAGCAGTCTCTGGACATTTAAGGCTGATGGCATAAATGATCAAATATAATGATACAAATCAATGGGTTGTACAGCAGACAATATGACTATATTTGGCCAAATCATATGTTTAATTAAAGGAGTTTAGTTTTTAATATGTAGCTATGGCATGACTTTTTTCCCCTTAAAAAACATATAATTATATAACATTACAACATTTATAAACCTATGTATTCTTGTAGGATGTGCCCTAGTCACATATGTATTGAAATTCTTTAGTGATGGAATTGTGTCTCCAAAAAATGACATAAAAAAGAAATCATTTAAAGAAAGGAAAAAGCTGAGAAAAATGCTGGCCTATGTCTGCTGAAAATTAAAACCATTTTTCACACTAAATCAGCTGCTTACTGGCAACAGTGCAATTTTGTACTACTTCCCCTTGGTGCCTCTCTGTGTACATTATCTTTTGAGGTGGGTAAACATGCTGGATGTGTTTTCTGCAGTCTCTCAACTCATGTAAGATTCTTATTGCAAGAAACTTTGGAGGCCTGAGCTCTGTTTACATCTGCAGAACAGTGGCCCTCTTTTTCTTTTGATGTACTGTGGAGCAATTCATCAGATTTCTCATAAAATCCAACCTCTGGAAGCAAACTGTGCAAGCTGCAGTGTGCAAACTAATAAGTCTAAACCCAAAAAATAATGTTAAAGTACATTATTTATTGATGTTTAAAATGCCAATTTAAGCACATTTAACTAAGTGCAACTAACTTTAGTTTGTATATACATAAATTCCATTCATGAAACATCCACATCATTATTTGAACTCCTTACAGATTTAGAACAGAGATATGTTCTGGTTTACAAATATTGTGCACATATGCAACACAAACAGACGACCTATCGTGCACAAACACACTCAAACACAGACTGACTTCTAACTATGTTGATTGATTGGCTGTCATGTGGCCTGCAGAAGGGATGTGTATCAGTGGTATTATCAAATTATTATAGACTGAAAGAGTCTCCGCTAATTGGCACTCTTCAGGAAGGTTGGCGGCTGAAGCCCTTATATCTCAGAGACGTGTCTTAAAGATGTGAACCAGATGTGAACCCACTCCTATTACCGTAGTTTGATTGTCATCTGCCAAAGCTGTGGAGAAAGGGTCAAATGCCAACTCGCTGACTTTTGAGGATTGATTTCAAAACAAACAGTTGCTTCTCAGAAAATTCTCTTGGTAACGCTCATCAATAGAGCCCAAACTATTGTTTTGAATAGCCACAGTCTCATTCTCAGTATGCAGTGGAGGGTTCTGCGCGCATGTTTTTGTTTAATTCCATATCTAAACACAAGAATAAAGAAAGAAGATGAGTGGTAAAGATCCCTGAAGTGGATGCATGAGATGGCAGTCTGAGCATTGCTAAAGGCTACAGCTTGCTCTACTGTGGAAAGCAACATTATGAAACAAGTTATTTAATTTTGGGTGCAAAAAAACTTTGATTTGATCTGCACCCGCTTAATTGTGCTGTGTCCATTTTGATGCTGCAGTCTTTATTTTCCAGCTGTTGTAATCAACTTTATACTGTAACACAGTGTAATTTAGTCAGTGTACTAGCTAAATTACCAGCATGATGCATCGCTCACTTGTATTTGTTAGTCAAGTAGTCATTCACTGCATCATCCAAATTCACAAGTTATAACAACTGTGAAGTGTCATTTCAATAATGGTGCCTTCTGGTTGTAGTATCAATACAACATGGGGACAGTGAGATTAATGGGTTAAGTAATTTGTTAAGTTCAAAATCCAAGCATTCTCTTCATTTATTTTCTAGGTTTTGGACTGCTGGTTGGACAGAACAAGACGTTTGATGACATCGCCTTGGGGCCTAGAAAATTTTAAAGAGAAACAGTTTTCTGACATTATATAGGCCAATTGATTAATATATTTATCAAGAAAATAAATGACAGATTGATCGATTACGAAAATAATTGTTAATTGCAGCCCTATTTATGGGCTCTTTTCAAACTCTGTCTTCAAACTTCAAACTTTTACTGTGAAGGCATACCCGTTCAAATAATTTCTTTCAAAGACGACAATGGCCTAGTTTGAAGCCCCCGAAGTAACCTAACAGAGTCACTCTGCTACATGTTCTGTTTGCATTCATGGTGATTTATTACTCTTGAACCATGCTGGGCCGATGCACAGGAGAGTTGTCTGCGAGACAAGCCTCCTGTGACAACAGACTACTATGACTTTGCGTCAGTGCTCCTATTATCATTTACATTGAGAAACTGGGTTCATGGCTAAACTGGAGCTTCTGAGTTAGAGTGCTTTTATGCCTTTGAAACTCGCTTGTGTAATCCTGTCCTAAATAGACATCTAACACACACTTTTTTCTTTTGTCAGAGTGAATGGAAGGACGTTACGTCCTCTGTGTCTGAATCTGTTAGTCTTTGTGGTAATTTAAGCAATTTAAAACATGTTATAAAAACATTTAAAGCTATAGGAATGTAAATGAGAAACCTTTACCTTTACTTTGTGTTTTCATCTTTCACTCAGAGGTTTAATGCCAAGGACTCTTGAAAGCCAAATCACAATGGAGAAGACACCAAGCTACTTTGTGACAAAAGAGACACCACACCGGATCTCTGCCATGTCCCACGATACCAAGCTCATTGTGGTGGTGCGTGACCCCGTCACTCGTGCAATATCAGATTACACTCAGACTTTGACCAAAACGCCTGACCTGCCGAGCTTCCAGGAGCTGGCCTTCAGAAATCAGAGCCTGGGCATTGTGGACACGTCCTGGAACGCCATTCGTATTGGCCTGTACGCTCTGCACCTTGAAAACTGGCTCCGCTACTTCCCTCTGGCTCAGATCCATTTTGTGAGCGGAGAGCGTCTTATCACAGACCCAGCAGGGGAGTTGGCTCGGGTGCAAGACTTCCTTGGGTTAAAGCGCATTGTCACGGACAAACACTTCTATTTCAACCGCACCAAGGGCTTTCCTTGCCTTAAGAAGCCGGAGAGCAGCGGCTCACCCCGCTGCCTGGGCAAGTCCAAGGGCCGAACTCATGTGCAGATAGACAGAGATGCCATTGAGCAACTGCGAGACTTCTATAGACCTTACAATGTCAAGTTTTATGAAATGGTGGGTCATGATTTCAAGTGGGAGTAGAGGATTGACATATTTTCAAATGGTACAAGAAAGATTTATGTATTCCATGAATGTTAAAAAATGGTTTGCCTACAGTAATATATCTAGGCTAGCTATCATAGCTAACTATCAGCAGTCTTTTCAAGTGAAATGGCAAAAGCAGTATTATTATTACTAAGATGACATTGCTTTTGCACTTCATTAGTACCAGCCAGCATCAGCATCCTGTTTGTTGCTAGATATAGTCGTCATTTCAGCTTCAGGATCACATGTTTTCTGTTCCTGTTACTGTGTGTTATTGCTGACTATTCCCCATTTGCTAACTGGTTGATTTAAAAGAAGGAAATTCCAGGGAGTGGGATTAGTTCCTATTAAAACCTGCTTTACTAATCAAGGCAGGGCTTGAAAGTAAGACCTTGGAAATGTCAGTGGAGAGCAGAATTAAGCTGCAACACTGTGGTGGCAAATCTGAAATGTAAAGCCATAACGCGAGTATGAACCACCTAATATTATTTAATTGTTGGTCTCATCAGTTTCTGTACAGAGTGAAAAATGTCTTTCTCATTCTTTCCAGCAGGAATAAGATTAGTTAGCATGTGCTGCAAAATGCAGCACTTCACTTGTGCTTTACATGCAAAATCCATGTTTATATTTTTGTTACAAAGTATTTAATCACTGCCATATCCACAATGCTTGTCCATGAACTCCATTAAATGAAACAGAAGCACAATGAAATTATTTGTTCTGTTTATCTGAAACCTTGACCTTGATAAACTGCATTCCACAAAAATGCATGCTGAATCACTTTTTAAATCCCTTAGCTGCTTTGCTAATTTTAAAACCACATGTCAAATCAAACGTTGGTCCTTTAAACTGAAAATTTGCTACATGATTGAAATTTGAAAACAGTTATTTCTGTACTATACCTCCCTTTTCCCATCTAGTTAGTAAAATTGTGTTTTTTTTAACAGATTACAGCGCTTATAGTTTTTACATCCGTCGCCCGTGTTGCAAGTGAAAACATATCCTTTGAGGTTTATTGCATTCTGCGAGGTTTGTTGTGTGCCTCAGTGGTGGTACGTGGGTGGGTGAGTGGGTGTAGGTGTAAGGAATTTCAATCACTTTTCAAAGACAAAGCAGGGAACACCTAGTCATGGCAGGTTATCAAATAGATTCTGGGACAGCATGTCACATGATTGCGGTGAAAAGTTTGGATTTGGCTACATGGTATGAATACTAAAGCCAGACTGTGTGAGTTTGAACCAGACACAATACTGTAAAAACAAAGGGAAAATTACTTATCTAGGAGTATATCTTGTGATTTGAAGCAGTGTGTAGTAAATAATTAGGCACTTAAATTCCATATCATACATCTTGACATTATACGTAACGCTTTAGATTACACAATAATTTTACTCTTTCAGTTTAAGTGTAATTATTTAGTATACCAGTACGTATATGTAAGTACAAGTGAAAAAGACAAGAGGAGAATAAGTGGGAATAATTGTGTTTAGGAGGGACTTAAGAGGAAATAAATTAGACTGTATGTATTTTTTTTTATTACTGATTGCCTATTTATTGATTACAGGTTATAGTGGTATTATTACTAAGCAACAAGGCAGGAAAATGGTGAAATGGGCTAAAAGTTATAATGCTGAAATTCAATTATGTTAAAGTATATTTTGAAATTAAGATATTTGGGAGATTTCAATGTAGAAGGTTTTCAAATATGTAGTACGTATCATGTTTTAAAAATGATGTGGACTAAAATAAAGCGGTCCAGTTTCCCCACTATTTCACAGTAATAACAGCGTAGTTACAGAGTATGCAGGCTGTAAAATAAAGAGGCCCAGTTTCACTACCATGTCACAGTAATTGCAATTTAAGGTTTTCAAATATGGAGTATGTATGTTTTCAAAATGATGCAAACTAAAGTAAAGCGGTCCAGTTTCACTACTAATTCACAGTAGTTACTGTGTAGAAACAGGGTATGTGGGCTGTAATGGGCGATCTGTATCCTGTTCTTATTCAATATGTTGTGGATCATTAAAAAAAACTTAGTTCTAGGTCCCCTCTAAATCTAAATGTATTGTCTCTTTATTCCATGTACTTCTAACCTTGAAATCTATACCACTAAAGCCCATAAGTAAAAAAACAAAACAACAAAAAACACTTGGACTATTATCTGTGAAAGTGTCACTCATATTCTTTACAGTTCCAAAGAAATGATAATTTAGCTCAGTAAGCAATAATTACATAAATATCATAAAATGTAGCTCCCACACACGCACAGTGCGTACAGACTGTGAGGGTTACTGAAGTACAGAAATACAGAACAGCAGAGACTTACTCAGCATTTTAATGCATATCTTCTAATATCACAAGTAATAGATACTGGAACACTAAACTCTGTAAGAATCTCGTTCCTTAATTAATAACACTCATTAATGACACTCTCAGTGAAATGTAGGACATGTTGGTCCGCTCTGTTATCTACATACCTCAGAAGTCTAATACTTTTATCTGTTTGCATACTGCTTCATCTGAAGCACTATTGAAATCTGCATGTAACAGAGTATCCTTTGAAGATTTCTTGGTTTTTGACATAGAAATACAGAAAGTTGAGCTTAGGATGCCTATTCTTATTTTTTACTCCACTATATTTTCAGGCTCTCTCCTCATTCGTTGCCTTTTTACCAAAATGGTCATAGTGCATTGTTAGGAGAAGAATCATAAAAAAGATGCTCCACTCGCTCAGCCCAGACGTCTGCCTTTTTTTCTCTCTCTCTCCTAACAGCTTCCCTTTCCCTTGGCGTCACTCTCCCTGTCCCAACATTCATTAAACTCATGCGACCTCCATGTGGGGCGTAGGCAGTGTGGCTGCACCACCTCTGATGCCGGTCTTGTCATCATACTCGCCAGCAGCTCATTTATGTGGCTTACTGAGCACACACAGGTGAATGTCTATTCACTCGTCATTGTGAGCGGCAACTCTCTATATGGTACACATGAGTCCTAATTAGGCCTGGGGGCTGGAGAGGAGCAATACCCTAGAACAAGCAAGTCTAATCAGACTCTGGCTGAAGTGAACGGCTCTCCAGAGACTGCTTGCAGGTCAAATCTCTCTCTCTCTCTCTCTCTCTCTCTCTCTCTCTCTCTCTCTCTCTCTCTCTTTCTCACACACACACACACACGCACATACACACACTTTTTCTCTTTCTTTTCAAATATGAATTCCCTCAGGAACCAGCCAATGCAAATGATGAAATCCTTTGCGTTTTGGAGCACCGTGACGTGACCTATTTGCACTCAAGCTAATGAGGTGCTTGTTAAGCTTAATGAGTATTTGTTAAAACTGATGTGTGAATACTGTTTTGATTCGTATTTCTTTCTTGGTGTCATGAAACATTATGACTATATGAACCATTTTCAAACACAGTCCTACACAAGGTTATGTTAATTGTGTCGAAAATCTAGATTCTGTTTTTAATTAAACGATCCTATAGCATAATTCACTTAATTTCATCCCAATGGAGCAGCTTGGTAATTATTTAATGCTCAAAACACCTGAAGGAGCTGAAGGGATTAGTTAATACTTTAGTGTGGATGAGCACTAGTTATTGCTGAGACTAATAATAAGACCTCAAGGACAGGAGAAGACACACATTGTTCTGTTTTATCTTTCATACTCCTTTGAGAGTTTTAGAAAGAGGCTTAGTGTTCATGATGATAATTTTTTGAACATTGGGATCTGATATTGATTCATGCTTAAAGCAGCAATATTGTTTTTTACTGGAGGGGTGAAAATCAAAACTGAAAAGGTCAACTTTTCTTTGGGGCACCAAAAAAATAACTGAATAATATCAAGCGCAGTGGCTGAAGACAGACTTTCAGTGTTTAAATGTCACTGTGATGTTCTTCATGCACATAATGTAGTTCATCTACATTCCCGGTTGGTTAATGTAGCTTCAAACATCACCACTCTTTTGGATTTTTAATGAGCTTAGTAGTAAGATAGAAGTACTGGCAAAGGAATATTTCAAAAGCAATCCTTCTCTGAAACCTTAATATTGGAGTCATTTTTATAAATTATTGTGAACAATGCTACAACAAATTTTAAAGCATGCCTTCAGGAATATGCATTTTACATGCATGCTCTTTTTGCACTGAATTAAAACAGCACACATTCACACAACATTCCTCGTCCCTTGCTCAGGATGTTCACATGAGATAGAATGAGGTTCCCTGCTATCCAAGTGAGACAGCAGCTGACACTGCAGAGGCAGAGATTCAGAAGAGTACCTCGTACAGTCCAATTGCTTCAGAATAGTTTAACTTCTGCAGCCGACAGGATATCCCAGTGGTCGAAATCACCAGTGGCTTAGGAGCCAAATTAAAATGAAGTGCTGACAACTGTGGCACAGTCTCAAGTATGTAATGATACATGTTCTACAACTATTTGCAGACCAGTGTTGGAACTGCAGTCTGTGGGGATGACACTTAATAAAGTGTGTGCGTGTGATGTGCTCTATTAACCTTATGGAACAAACCTTCAAAGTGAAGAAGTGAAATGGAATATTTTGACCCAAGAAATGCCATTTTGTGACTGTTAGCCAGTCTAAAAGCAGCAAAAAAAAGTCATTTTCATTTGCACTCAGATACAAATACTGTTTACAAATCAACAGCCACCTGCCCGCCCCTTTTTAACTCGCCTGCAGAGAGGGAGAGGAAAATGGCAAAGATGTGAGATTTTGTTGGGCGCGTGCCCTTTCAAGATTTTGATCTGTGAAATTCTGCAAAGTCCTCCAAATTAGAAACAGTTGTTCAGTGCCATCTCCTTGTTGTTGTATCCGTTTGTCAGACGAGCAGGAGTCTGTTTTCGCTGGAGTAGCTAAAGTGAGGTAGAAAGCTGATTAGATTGGAGCAGTAGTCAGACCTCAGCATCTCTCTCACCAGGAGATGTGTTCTAATTAGAGTGCGTGTCTCATGTCTCACTGAGGAGAATAACAAGCCTCATCCCAAGGCTGCCTCCAGATGAACCTCACATCCACAGCAAACCAAAACACATCTGATGTATCAGCAACCCATGGACTCCGGACCACACCTGAGTCGACATGCGGCGCATTAGGATTTTGATGGGGGTTTACATCATGTGGCAGCGCTCTCTAAGCAGGAGGCCTTGCAAAGCTGGAGCAACAATGAAAGAAGCCAGGTAGAGTTGCTCTGCCTCCTGTTTTTATTGCCCAAATTATTCTCTCAGGTAATGAACACATCTTCAAACCCCAATCATTAGCAAAATGGAACTTCCATCAGTAGGGCAGCCATTTCACTCTACTAAGAAGAGTTTGTGTGTGTGTGTGTGTGTGTGTGTGTGTGTGTGTGTGTTTTTCCTGAGCAGTCTGAAAGGAGGGACAAACTGAACCCGATGATGTTCTGGGGGCTGTGATTATAGGATTCAAGAAGCAAAGATGATCCTGCCTAAGCCTGCTCCAATGTGTGATGCCATTCTAAAGCGTGAGAGTAGGCAGGCAAATTAGATTTGAAAAGGAAGTTCTGTTTGAAATTCTTCCCAAATATGGTGAGAAAGACTGAATATTGCCCTTTTTTGAGTCTTACTATTTCTGATGAGTAAATAATGATTTTGTATTTGATTTGATCCATGCTTGGATCATTACCATTATTGATATTATGTTTCACAATGCCACATTAAGCTGATATTAAGCAAGACTTGAATT